TCCACACGAGCCTCGGTGAGGTCTGTCCTCATGGCTAGCTGCTCCCTGGCATAGACGTCTGGGTAGTGGGTCTTCTGGAAGACCTTCTCCAGCTCCTCCAGCTGGTAGCTAGTGAAGGTGGTGCGGTTCCGCCGCTTTTTGCCCTTGTTGCTCTCCGAGTCGGCCTTGTCCATGGGGCTGGGGAGGTCCGTGCTGGCCCTGTCCTGGGACGCTTTGACCCCGGCCTCCTTCACGCTGAGGTAGCTGCTGTCCATTCCCGAAGGGTCAGAGCTCGGCTGCAAGTCAGCCTCTCCCAAACTGCTCTCCTTGCCTATTTGGGTGGGAGGGTGGGGAGGGGAAGAGAGGAGAGGAGGGCAGGTTGGAGCAGGGTAGGCAGAAGGGGAAGAGAGAGAGAAGGAAACAGATGTAAATCTTTTGACCAATTAATTGGTTCAACCAATTAAAGCTAGCCATGGCAGCTGGGCAGTGGTCCCCAAATGAAGGCAGAGAGGCTGACACCACCCCTGGCACAGGTGGGAGGCAAGGCAGAGGGGTGCCCTGCATGGGCACAGGAAAGCTGCTGGCCTCGGCCTCAGAGGGTGCTGGAGCTCAGCTCGGGGGTGACATGGGTGCCTGGCTGGGCTGTATGCAAGGGAGGAGGTGGCTGTTATGCCAGGTGGGCTGACTGCAGCCCATGGACACCAGCACAGCTGGGGAAATGGAGGCTGGGGTGAGCTCTGTCAGCTCCTCCTGATCCCCTTCCACGAGTCCAGCAGGCTCACGTGCATGCACCCCAGCAAGAGCCCCCTTCACCCTCCCACCACCGACAGTGGAACCGAACCCCAGAGCATTGCATTCCTTGGTCCTGGCCACAAGAGAGGTCTCTGGGTTCAGATGGACCCAAACCCAAGCCTCAGAGGATGGTCCCCAGTCACCAGCCCATCCGTGCTCCCCTACCAAATAGCACACGGTAGAAAACCAGGGGCACACAGCAGCCACATGCGGCATTCGGTGGGATCTGTTTTCCTGCTCGTGCATCCCCAGGCAGCAGTGGTGTGTCAGCAGAGGTGCTCCTGACTGACACCCACAGTCACCCCCACGGCCTTCTGCGAGGGCTTGCACTGCTTTCTGCAAAGAGGCTACGAACAGTGCTTAGGGCCGCAGAAAAAGCTGGTGCGCGACACCGGCGGGGACGCCCTGGCCTGTGTGCGGGGCAGAGAGAAATGAGGGAGCCCGACAGCAGCCTGGGAGGCTGCTCCTGCCTGCCTGCCCTGAGCAATTAATAATTAACAGACCATGACATACAAGAACAGTATGGCGAAGTGGGAGGTGGACGTTTCGACCACTGCAGTGAGCTGGTTCCGCTCTAAGGCTTAGCGGCTGCAAGTGAAACCAGGTGTACATGCCCTCAGGCAGAGACAAAGGGTGCTGTGATGGGGCGTACTCTCCTGCCCACCTCCTGCCTCAAGCAACAGTGCTGTCCCCTTCATTAGCAAGACCACTGCTAAGCAAGCAGGATCCTGGTGGGGACCCAGTGGCATGCAGCGCCTCTGGTGACAAGTGTCCGCGGCCCTCCCTCGCCTGCTGCCGCTGCTCTGCCCAGCGGGCTGGCCCCAGACCAGAAAAAGAGGGATTTGTGCGAGTGCTGGCCCACCCGGCGTGTGCTGCACAGCCCAGCGTCACCCCTGGCCACATTTCTGGCTGGGATCTTTGGACAAAAAACATGGTAGCCCTACTGTGGGGTTTAACCTTGAGCTGCTGCACTCAGCTCCTAAAGATCGGGGAAGGAAAGGGTGCAGCGGTACATCCTATATGTGCTCTCCTTACCAAGCCAAGATCATGCCAACTGGCTAATCTTTTTTTTTAAATTTCACATTAGACTATTTTTAAATGTTCTCAGTCCTGGATCAGTCTTTCTGGGAAACAGCTCCCCCACCTAGTGACGTCGCCACCTGGAGATTGCCCTCAGCAGGGTCATATCCAAGGTCATTAATCCCAGCTCAAGTATCTTAGCCCATGTCTTTGGAAATCCCCATTTTTTTAAAGCATTCGTCCCTGGTTACAACATCCTACTACCACCTAATTCACTGTATATTTACAGTTTAGCCCTGCTGTGAACAGCTCTGTCACAGCTTCACGGCCAAAAGCCTGCAAACAGGCTTGTAAGAAGGTGTACGTGTAGGTAACCTCGCCCTTTACTCATTCTCGCAGTGTGTGTTGAGGTGATTGGGATGAAAACAGGAGGATGAAATGTAGCCGTCACCCTTGGGCACAAGGGCAAGGAAGGCCCAGGTTTAAGCTTGGGAGGATGAGTTATGAGAGAGATTTGAGAAAAAAATTGCCCGGTTAGTACAGAGGAGTTGAGGGCAGGACTGGGATGAAGGCACCGGAGACGCAGGAGCTACCTGCCACTACCAGCCTTCTGTATGTTCAGATTTATTGCTTTCTCTAATACTGTTCCCTCAGGCTTTTGAGGAGCTCCTTATAAAGCTCAGCAAAGCCTAATGTCATCTATCTCAAGTCTCTTCGCTTTGATCCTTAGGAACATTTTGTCGAGATTTATACTCCCTGGGCGCCAGGGCCAGTGTCCAGGCCAGTGGCTGCCAAAACTAACAATGATAAAACAGCTCCAGAAAGTCTGCAGCAACTGACATATGCAAGTCGGTGGAGATGCACTAATAACTAAGTAGCAGTATTCCAGCAAATTTTTCCTCCTTTCTTTTTTTTATTATTTATGATGTCAGGAAGCTCGGTACATTTTCCCTGTGCCTTCGTGCTGGCTGCCTCCCTAACTCCCAGGTCCCCTGCGACTCCAGCAGCAGCAAACACAAGACCTGAGGCCTTTCCTCAGGAGCTCCTCTGCCGTCTCTTATCTGCTCAAGCAGCCAAGTTAGCTGGGAAGGGTCTGCACAAACACAGATGCACACACAGACAGACAGGCAGAAGCTCTGGGTCTGACGTGATTTCATTGACTGCACAGCTCAAACGGCAGCTGGGAGCTGGGCCCAGGGCTTTCAGCAGCGATAGTTATCTCCGCCGCAAGCCGTCAGCCCCGAGGAACAAGCAACCGTCCCCGCTGGGCACGCTGCGGGCGTCCCCATGCCGGCTCCCCACCAGCCCCGAGCCCTCCTTGCTGGCTCGGCCACACTGCTCTCCTGGTCCTGCACGGCAGCAGGCACGGGCTCCTCTGCCTCCAGCCCCTGCGGGCGCTGGCAGGGCTACGCTGAGGGGCAGGGAGAGCAGGGAGGAGGGCAGGAGGCAGGGAGCACAGGCGGCGGTGTAGGGAGGGGATGGCATGCATTCACCCTCGGCTGAGCATCCAGAGGAGCAGCTCTCCTTCCCTAGGACCAGCTCCCTGACCTCAAAACAGTCATGCTAACTGCTGAAGTGAAACAAATTGCATACATCTGCATATGGATATGCCCAGACTTCCTGTAACTGGAGATGGCCTCAAAGTTTCAGTGCAAAGTTTGGGGTGTCTGTTTCTAATCAAACCTAGAGAGACCTTGAGTTACATATTGTGAAGATCTCCATGACAAGGAGGTAACGTGAGTATCACTGCACCCTTACAAGCCTGACAGGACGGCTTGGTGCCTCCTTCACTGCTTACGACTCTGTCCTTGCCCTCATAGCAGTAGGAGGAGGATGTTTTCTGGCTTCCCACGCTGATACCCCGCTCTCCCAGTGCCTTGGCTGCCTGCTAGACCATCGGCACTTCCGAGACCTTCCCTGAGTCACCCTGGATCAGTTGCCAATGCAGGGCCAGTCCGGGACAGCTGGGCACGTGGGCCCCCATCATCACGCTGCTCCTTTTCGGGCAGGAGAGCTGCCCGCATCCCCAGTTCACCCAGAGGGGAAATGCCTTTCCGATCTCCCCGCGTCTGTCCTGGGAACCCCACGGAGGAGGAATTAGGTGCAGGAAACACAGACCATGCTCACACGTGAGCCCCCGAGCACGCTGCTCTGCCGACACCCTTGCTAGAGGGAACAGGCATTTTAACCATGCCGTCGCAACATTTGGATTCACAACTCGTATCTATTTTTTTCCTGAAGTGTGCTATTTTGGGAGGGTGATGAAGTAAAATCTTCTCTATGTACAATCTTAACCATGAAATTTAATTTAGTGCAATGTCAGCTTGGTGTACCTACATCGCAAGGGAGAGTGGGATGTTTCGAATACACAGCTTCGGGCTCAGCTTGAATTGATAGGTCTCCTTTGCACAGCACATACGTGAGAAGTCACAACTCCTTTGTGGTAGGTTCCTTCACACAGATCCTGGGACTGCAGCCCCCACAGCCTAAGAGCTTGGAGGACAGCTACGCAGCCAGCAAAACCCTGGGTCGCAGGCAGCACAGAGCTGTGTCCCCCAGGCTCCAGGCAAAGAAGCCCGCAGGGTCTTGGCGTTGCTGATGCACTGCTCTGGCAGCGTCTCATCTGAGCTGTTATGTTCTCAGTAAGGAGCCCCCGGCTACCCCAGCCCTAGGGGGGCTCCCAGAGCAGCCCAGCATGCCTGGACACCTACCAGCACACAGCAGCTCACAGAGGCTGCCCACTGGTGGCCAACCCACATCCAAAGTGGGTGGCAACGGCAGCGTGTGGCTGCGCCAGGCGGCCTCGCTGCTCCCACACTGCGTGGTGTGGGGGCCTTCTGCCTTCCCAGCCAGGTTTTCTCCCCTTCCCATTCCCAGACCCCTCTGGCCTCCTACATTGGCCATTTCAAGGGGCTC